GGAAGAGGTGCCGAGGCTGAGGCAGGAGGATGGCAAATTAAGACTTGCCTGAGAAATGGAGCAAGATCCTGTCTCAAACTAAAAAGCTAACAAGGGCTGGGGATGTACTCAGGGCTTCTCCCTAGCCCGGTCTCCAGCACTGCCAGATCAGGCAGCACAGAGAGCCAGGGTCCAGTCCCCACAGGTTGCCAAGATGGGCCAAGGGGAAAGGCGGCATTTTAAGCAAGTGACACTGGAAAGCTGTCTGCCCACATGCCCACCGAAGAACAAGGCTCCACACACACAAATGGTAACTCAGAAACGCGTCTGAGGCTGTGCAAACTGTGACCCCAGCTGCTGGGAAGCCTGAGAGAGGAGGGTCGTGAGTTCAAGACCAGCCTGGGCAACTTATGGAGACTGTATCAAAATAAAACTTTAAAAGAGGCTGGGGCTGGGCCAGGGATTTAGCTCAGTGGCATAGGCACTTTCCTGACAAGTGCAAGGTCTTTTTAAAAAAGCTGGGGCTGCCAGGCGTGGGGGTGCACGCCTGTAATCCCAGCACTCGGAAGGCTGAGGCAGGAGGATCACTGGGAGTTGGAGACCAGCCTGGGCTACACAGTGAGCTCAAGGCCAGCCTGAACTGCATAGCAAGACCCTGTGTCAAACATACAAAAAAAAAAAGGTCTGGGGTAGCTCAGTGGTAGCTGCCAATCCCAGGACCCAATGCCAGGGCCTGGGCGGGGCCAGGGACTGAGGCCTAAATACAGGACTCTAACAGCTCTGATCAGTGGGCGTCTGCTCTGCACAAGGACAGCATTCACCGTGGGGACTCACTCGAGGCATGGACATCCCACACCCTCACTCTTTCCAGTCCCCTCCCCCTTCCCTCCACCTCCCCGTCCCCCCTAACTCTCAGACCCACAGCTATAAAACCTGCTGTGCCATGGCCATGAATTCCTGGCTAAGACTCCAAAGACACAAACAAAAAAGGATTTCATGAAAATTTAAAAATTATGTGTATCAACAGTGCCAGCAAAGTACAAAGGCAAGCCGCAGAAGGGAAACAGTATTAGCAAACGACGTAGAGATCAGTACACAAAATACATGGAAAACTCGTCATGGACAGAGTGCAGGGTGTGGTGGTGCAAGCCAGTAATCCCAGCGCCCTGGGAGGCTGAGGCGGGAAGGTCCAGCGGTAGTCTAGCAACTCAACCAGGCCTTGTCAAGAAACACACAAAAGTGCTGGGGCCAGAGCACAGTGCCAAGCCCTGGGCTGGCCCCCAGTCCCGGGGGAAAAGACTAATAGGGCAAAGCTTTGAGGAGCTGTTTCTCCAAAGATGATACCAACACGACCAATAACCGCCCGAAGGAGTGCGGAAGCCCGGAACCCTTATGGAAATGCGACTCTGGATCACAAGGAGACGCCTCACCCCACTCACTCCCACGCTCCCATCAGGGTGCAGTGAGCTTAGCACTCGGGCTGGCACTTACCGCCTGCACAAGAGCCGGGGTCCAGCCCAGGAACGCCACCCCCAATAACAGGCATCAGAGGTCGCGTGCGCTGCCCGCAGGGTGTAAAATCTGTGCACATGTGCTCCCCAGGAAATTAAATACAGAATCCCCAGAGGATCCCACAGCTCCACTTATAAACTGAAAACGAGGTCTCCAAAGAGATACCCCACTAGGTTTCCAAATTCACCGCAGCATTTCCACCAAGCTGCAGCATGGAATCGACCAACACACCCTCCTCCAAAGGGAAGGATGGAACAGCATGTAGGGAGCGGTTTTGAATAGCTGCTGCTGCCCTGCCCCTCCTGCCTGAGGGCATTTTGTGTGTCAGCCTACATTTCCCATGATCCTCCCCTTGCCTGCAATGCACATGACAAGCAAACTTCCTGTTTCAGCCTGCCTACATTACCCATAATCCTCTCCTGCTTACATCATATATCCGGATGATGATGACCTATCAGATTAAGCCTTCTTCCTGCCTATGGCCCGCCCCCCACCCTATATAAGTTGTAGCCATTTTAAAAATAAACGAGACTCGATTGGAATCTCATCCTGTCTCCATCTCTCTTTTCTCTTGTCCTGCCCCCATCCCCGATCCCCTCTCCAGGTTGAGACCCATAGATTGATCCGCAGGCCGGATCAACAGCAGACCACACTGGACTATTACTCGGCCATGGAAAAGGAAATGCTGCCATCTGCCACAGTATGGCTGGGCTCAGGGACACCATGCTAGGGGACATCTGTGCCCCCTAAATGCTGCATGAGTCCACTTACTTGAGAATCCTTAGCCAAGTCAGATCACAGTGACAGGCGGAGTGGGGGCTGTCGGGGCTTGGGGTTGAGGTTTGGGGAAGGGGCTGAAGGAGGGCATCCATTCACCAGACAAAAGGGCTCAAGCACACCAGGTGAGGGCTCTGCCATTGAGCTAGCTATACCCCACCCCATCCCCCAAATAGACTCTTAATACCCCTGAGCTCTGCACTCAAAAACAGTGAAGTAAATTAATGGGGGGTACTTAAGTTCTAGGTACTTAACCCAGGACCTGCACACTGAGTTATGACCCCGGACTAGTCTTCATTTTTAAATTCTGAGACAGGGTTTCACTAAGTCAGAGTAACTAAATTGGCCAGACTGGGCTTGAACTTGTGATCCTCCCAGCTCGGCTCGGCCTCCCAGTGTGCTGGGATTATAGGCCTGGGACCACTTGACCCAGTTTAGTCAGTAAATTTGGTTTACATGTATTTAGTACAATTATTTTTTTAAAAAACCTGGGACAAAATTTAATTAAAAAAACTGTATATGAGAATAGAACTTCTTATAATTCAACTAATAAACTCATAATTTGATTAATAAAGGGAAGGAATGGAGAAAAAAGAAAGAATTAAGATATATTATGTATGGGACTGGGGAGTTAGCTCAGCGGCATAAGCACCTGCCTTGCAAGCAGGCGGTCATGAGTTCGATCCCCAGTACCGATAAAAAGATACAAAAAAAAAAAAAGATATATTATGTACAGGTACAGATTCCCTATGATGAATGTGGTAACTATGTACATCAAAAAATTGGGGGGGGGGGGTGGGGAGGCTGGGGATTTAGCTCAGCAGCATAATGGCCTGCTTGGCAAGTATAAGGTCATGAGTTCAATCTCTGGTACCCAAAAAAACAAAATGTCTTTTTTTAGAGTCAGGGTCTCTTTGTAGTTTAGGCCAGTCCTGAACTCACTACGTAGCCCAGGCTGTCAAACTCACAGCAATTCTCCTGCCTCAGCCTCCCAAGTGCTAGGATTACAGGCATGCACCACCAAAATTAAAACTTTAAAAAAGCCAAATAAATCAGCAGAGAGAAGCAGGCCAAGGCCCTAAATGGACACTTCAAAGTGCGAGCAGCCCCGAGCACGGGAGAAGATGACCGACATCATTACTCATCAAAGGAAGGTGAAGCCAAACATCACCTCACTCCGCACACCTACGACCCCAGCGTCACCAAAAGGTCAGCACAACCAGCTGCCAGCTGCAGGTGGTGGGGAGAGTGCCTTCCACAGGTGACTCAGCAGGGGACTGGGCTCTCACTCCCGGGCTACCCCTCCAACACCCCAGCCCTACAGTGAGTTCCAGGCTGGCACGGAGCCCGAAGGTCAGCGTAGACGGGTCAGGGGAGAGCTTTGGGCCAGCAAGACCACCCCACCTCAGTGGTCTGCTTCAGCCCAAGGGTCCAAGCTCCCCGTGTCCTACCTACTACTATTTCTGGTTCATTGTAAACAAGGCCGAGGAGCATCGGAAGAGGTTCAAAGAACAGAGATGGGCACAGGGCTTCTGCACCCTCTCCAGGCCTGCCCCAACCTGGCACCTCCTGCACTCACCAACTGGGGCCCTCCTCAAACCCCCATCTCCCAGTGGAAGGGTTGTTACGGAGATTTTGCGATTGATCAAGTCACTGGCCACTGGTGATTAACTAGAACCCTTGAAGGGCTTGAAAAGTTCCAACTTTTTAACCCTTTTTATTTATTGTTTGGTTTTGGTTTTTTGACCCAGACTGGCCTTGAACCCACTATGTAGCCTAGGCTGGCCTTCAGCTCTTGGTGACGCTCCTGCCTCAGCCTCCCAAGTGTGCTGGGATCATAGACGTGCACCACTGCACCCCGTGCCTAGCTCAACCCTCAAATATCTTTCCTTCATTTCTCCTGGAGCCCAGGGCCCAAGCTGAGCTATGGAGGAGAACAGCTACCAGTCACTAGTTAGCACACAAAGACACTCTTGTCACCCGGGAGATTCCAGGGGATTCCCAGGGTTTCAGGAGCTCAGTGCCAGAACACTGATCTTCCTATCAGCACCCTTGCAAAATCGAATCAAACGCAAACTGGTTGTGGTGGCACACACCTGTGATCCCAGCAGTCCGGAGGCTGAGGCAAGCATCAGCCTGGGCTACATAGTGAGTTCAAGCTCAGTCTGGAGTACACAGCGAGACCCTGTCTCAAAAGAGAAAACAAAACCAAAAAAAATTGATACAGGTGATGGTGACCCAGCTCCATGAGCTACTGCTGGACACTCAGATGAAATGTACGGCGTGCGAATGGCATCTCAAAACAGCCAGTACAGAGGTGGGGGTGCGTGCACCCAGAAGACAACAGTGTCTGCAAAGCTTGGGACAAAGGGCACTGCAGCAGCAGTGACACTCTGGCAAAGATCAGGACAGGTCCCTCTGGGCCTGCACCAACCTCCGGGCCAGTGGCCCAGCGCAGTCCCTGAGATGGGGCACAAAGCCTGGGGAGCTGGAACATGTGGCCCCCACCCGGGAGAAAGAGTGCAGGCAACTGCATGTGCCCCGGGAGCTGTGATCTCCAAGCCACCAAAACACTCAAAGCCCGTGCTCCCCACAGCCTGGTCCCTGGAGAAAGGGCGGGCAGGCGTCAACTCCACCATGCCAAGACATGCTCCAAGATCCTCCTGACCTGCCGCCTGAGGCCGGGGAGGCTGGGATGGGAGGGATCCACAGAATTTTGCCTGTCATCCTACCTTCCTGTGGCAAAGACACAAGGTCTGGCGAGCGAGAGCTTGGGGCTGGTCCCAGCAGCCCGGATGGAGGCCCAGCATCTTCCTGCAGGCTCTGCCAGCTCCTGGCCTGCCCCAAGCTTCCTAGAGGCTGCCAGCCTGCCAAATGGCCCAAGACGGAGAGCCCTGGCAAGCAGCTTCATCCTGCGGTGTGCGGGCTGAAGGTTTCCCAGTTCGCTCTGGTGGCACAAAAGAAAGCTGGGCTCCGATGTTCCCCGGACAGGTCGGTGGCAGTGAATGCCCTGCTTAGGGAGCCTGGCCTCTGCCACCCATGCGGGAGCTGTGAGGCTGGCTTCTGATGCTCAGTAACATAAGGAATTCATGACTGGACCTCAAGTCACACAGCGTGGGCTCTTTCACAAGCAAATAAGGGGAGGCCCAGGCCATGACAGCACCTGTTTGTGGGAGGGCAGGATCAGAGCCCAGAGCCCCATCTCCTAGCCACAGCCACTCATCCAGGCCTGGCTGCCTCTGCCCAGCTTCTCTCCAGTCTGCAGCATGTGACTGTCAGCAGACCTGGGAGGTTGCCAAGTGGCACAGAGGTCCTGGTCCAGCAGGGAGCAGAAGGAAGCTGGCAGGTGCCACGGGGCAGAGGGAGTGGCAGCTTCTGGGGATGCACAGGTCAGGGCTGGGTGGGGCCCTCCATCCCGGAACTGGTCCTTCCTTATTGTGGGCAGCATCAGAAGCTACAGGAGGGGAGGGAGGAGGGACTGAGTCCCCAGCCCTGCCACAGCTCCTCACTCCCACCAACCTGGGCCCCCTGCTTTCCTCTCTGCTCTAAGCCGCTCCCCACACCTTGCAAGCTCATTTTGCAGCCAATCGCAGACAGCACAGCCTGGCATCACCCGGAAACACTTCAGCACTGCTTCCAAAAGACAGACTCATTGTTCAAAAAAAAAAAGAAGAAGAAAAGAAAAAACACACACGCCAGGTACAGGGAGGGGCACATACCTGTAAGTCTCAGCTATTTAAGACGCTGGGTTAAGAGGGTCCCTTAAGCCCAGGCGTCTGAGCCCATCTCTAAATGAATAAATACAAGCACCAAGCAGTGATCCTGGCTAAAACATGTAAAGCAAGCCCTCACATAGCACCAAATGACAAATGTCAGGTCACATTTCTGTTGGCCACAGAGAAAAGCTGAGAGCCCAAACGAAGAGATAAACCAGCTGCAGCTGTCCAGGGAATGGAAGGCAGATGGTCCACACATGGACCACACAGGTCCCCCCAGTGACCTGCGCGGGGGAGCTCATGGCTCACGGGCACTGCGCAAAATCCCAGCAAGGGCAAAGCTGTGGCGACAGCAAGCAGATTCGTCTGCCAGGGGCCAGCAGTGTGTGTGGGGGGTGACAGCCAAGAGGCCAGAGGGGACATCAGGGGTAACTGGACATTCCATGTCACAGTCAGGTGGTCATCGCACAGTGTGATGCGTGTTTGTCAACACAAGGGAGCCATACATGTACAACAGGCGGCTGTTAGGGGCAGGGCATGGTGGTGCACGCCTGTAATCCCACCGAACTCTGGGAGGCTGAGGCAGGAAGGCAGCAAGTTGGGCAACCCAACAACTTAATAACACCCTGTCTCCACTAAAAAATAATCAGGAGGAGGGGAACGGGGAAAAAAAGTTACACCGTGTACAGGTACAAATTCCCTACAGTGAATGTGATCATTTATGTACACCTAAAACGTATCAATAAACTTAATAAATAATAATAATAAAAATAAGGACAGGGTGTACTGAGGATGTAGTTCAGTGCAAAGGTCCTGGGTTCAATGCACATGAATAAAATATGCATTTTGCTGGGCATGCTAGCACACACCCGTATACAAAGATACCGGAGAGAATGGAAGAAGCACCCCAAGTTCAAGGACAGTCCAGGGAATTTAGCAAGATACTATCTTAAGATGAAAAGTGATGAAGGATGGGGATACAGCTCAGGAGTAGAGCACTTGCCTTGCTTCCCCCGGGCTCAATCCCTAGTACCACCGAAGAAATAAAATAAATCCACACTCTACTGCCTTTGCAATTGTAGACTTATCTACGGGTACGGTGCGTCTGTAACAAACCTCCCTGGTGGGCGAGGTGTAGATGGGGAGCCCAAGGATGGTGGAGTACCCACAAGTGCAAAGGCAAGACCAGGCACCTGAAGAAGCCCCACCCGTAGAGCAGGGAGGGTCCCTGGGGGGAGCACCCGCAGGCCTGGAGGCACCCAGGGAGCTGGTCAGCTGCACGTGCAAAGTCCTGGCGTTTGAGTGGCTGCCTGCCACACTCCCAGGGTAGAGCTGGGAACACAAGCCTCCTTACACAGGTCCTCGTGCCTCCACCAGGGTCCTCTCTCTACCCCCTGCAGCGCACAGGAAGGAAGCTGGTACTGGGCACCTTTACCTTCTCATGCAATTGTCAAGAACATAAATGAACATGGCTTCCCTAGACCAGATTCTGCTTCCATGAATTCCATTGTAAAGCCAACGACAGAGCACAAGGGAGAAAATTCTAAGCCCTTAATGTCCACCCAACGAGTACTTATTGGCATGTGCTGCAGACAGCAGACACTGCTGAAGGCACTCATGGTCCTCCTGGTACAAATGACCCCTGTTCCCTGAGACCGGCTTGAAGCGCAGCATCCTAAGCAGGGCAACCAATGCTACGAGCGGCCCCCAACAGGTCCTGAGGTCATGTGCCTGCCGGGCCATCGAGTGCCCAGGCCTCCTTTGCTGGCACAGCTGACAGCCAACTGTATCTCTCTGGGCTGGACCAAAAAGACAAAGGAACAATGACCCACAATGGCCTAGCTGCCCAAGGTGCTGGTCCTCACGTGTTCCTTTGTGAGTTCACAGCTGTAAGCAGCAGAACTGGGCCAAAGGTATCAATCCCCACCATAAACCTAAGGCTGGCTCCATCCAGTCCCAAGTTTACAACGTAAGAAAACCTGGCCTGAGTGAGGTCACAGAGATGCCTAAAGCCACGCACACACGACCCACGAGAAGCAGGGCTGGCGCCGGAACCCTGGCCACTGTCCCACTTCTGCCAAAAGACCTTGCATTGACACACAATGTGCCAACCATCCTGCGAGATGATGGCTACACTCAAAACACTCATCACAACCTGTGGGAAAACAGGAATGCAGGAAGGTGAAGCAGTGCACAGTCAGGTCACTCAGCCACCGAGCAGCAGAGCAGAAATCAAGTGAGACCCCTCGGCCAGGCCTGCACAGCTACCTGAAGCCGCAGCCCACATGTGCCCCCCCTGCCAGGTGTGATGGCGCACACCTGTGGTCACTGGGAGGCCGAGGCAGAAGGATAATCCCAAATTTGAAGCCAGCGTGGGCTACACAGTGAGACCTTGCCTTGGGAAAAAACCAACTGAACAAATACAGCCACACCCTCCTTTTACAGCTTCCGACTGACGTTTCATGACCACCCTGTCTGGGGTGGTAGGGACTTTGGTAACCTTGCCCTGCTGAAGGGTGGCCCCCAAATTTTCCACCCCAGCTCTCCTCTTGTGCTCCTTGGGGGTGTCCAGTTCAGTCCTGTTAAATTCATGGCCTGCCTGTGCTAGGTCAGGAGGCTCTTCTTTCAACGTGGGTGTCAGCTCCCATGTCCTTAAAGGGCTCTGCACCCGGCCAGGGCTGCTCTCCAGGGTTGGGTGCAGCCCCAGTGACCAGGGTTATGGCACCAGACATTCTGCTCACAGGAAACTCTGCCCAGGCAGCCACTTAGGGACACCCTACAACTGTCACTCAGGGATGTCAAAAGGCAGCCCTTATGGACAGCGTGGGTAAGAAAGAGCACCCGGAAACACACTTGTGGATGTATGAATGTCTAAAATGCTACAAAAATCCCCAAGTGTTGGAAGCGACTTAAAAACAGTTGGTCTAGACTGGCTAGTCATCTTCTTGACAAAGTAAATGAAAGCCAAGTCTCCCAAGGGCAGATGTAAGTTGTATTTCCCTTTACTTTTTGAGACAGGGCCTCAGTTGTGCTTGAACTCCTGAGCTCAAGTACTGGGGTTACCGGGTTGCAGCAGCACACCCAGCTCAATAGTTTCATCATTTGACAGGCAGTGGAAACAATATTGGATCTGGAACTGGAAGACCTGGGTGGGAGCTGCCCCTAAGGGTCTGGGCGCTGAATGACCTTAGCTAGTTATTCAAACTTCTGCTCCACACAGCAGGAAGGTTGGAGGCCCCTACCACCCAACCTGGGGGTGGGGGGGACCTGGGCAAACCAAGTGTGAGGAGACAGGTGAAGCTCTCTGCAATTAGATACACCCCCCCCCCAATTCATAACTGGTGCTTCAAGGACCTGACTCCAGGACTGTCTATCTGCCTAAGTATCCCAACTTTATTACTTTTGCCCTCGGGGCTCCCATGAACACAGAACCTTTGAATAAGCAGGGCTCCCTCAAAGATTTCCTCTGGAACAGTCTAAACCTGACCTTGAGTCAAGAAAGGACCCCTGCCAGGCCAAGTTGGCAGCAAAGAGCCCTGTTTAGCCCCACTTGCTGTATCCCCAGCCTTCCAGGAAGACTCAGCCTCAAAGGAAATCTCTGCCCCAGGGCTGATGGTTTGGACCCAAGGTCAGTGTAATGCACAGCCTCCAGATGTGAGAAGCCAACCCTACCATTCTCACAGTGGGTGGTCCATCAGGCGGGACCCTACCGGAGGCCACAGCCCCTCAGCGCTTTACAGGTCCCTATTTAGCTCAGACACTAATGTCTGATTGCCTCTGCCCCAGGCTCTGCCGGAGAATCTGCAGAGTAACCTTGAGGCTGCCCTCTCCACTTCTTTCGGAAAATGAGCTCGATCATGACCTCCAGCTGCCTGGGGGACCAACAACTATCTAAGCAGCACCCGGTGGAGAAAGGATGGAATGGTGGGGACACAGGAACAATCCTTTGCCTCCACTGTGTAAGATGCTCTGGGCCCACTGGATGGCTCGGTTTCTTTCCTGAGCAGTGGAGTGAGACAAACAGTATTATCTGTCCTCTCTTTGAACACCTGCTGTCCGCCTGCCCCCACAACCGAGGCGATGCACTAAAGGAAAGGTGGGTTTTCGGCCCTCTTAACAGGCACGCCCACCCACGGACACTTGTCCTGCATCTATGGAGGCTTCAAATCTGCACAGCTGAGAACTGGCCCCGGAATCCTGCAGGGGGCTGGGCTCCGAGGCGCTGGGCCCGGGGCGGGGAAGAATGAGCCCAGCCCGGCGCAGGCACTGCGCGCGCCGGCCTCCGTCTCCGCCCGGCTTCCTGCACCGCACGGCCTGTGACGGCGGCCGCCGCCCTTGGGATGCGGCCGGAAGGCCGGTGGGAGGAGCCGAGGGGCCGCTCGGTTCCGCAGCATCACCAGGCGCAACCGTGTCGGGGGCAGGCGGGGGACCCAGGGCGGCGGTGCGGGAGGCCGCGAGGAGACCACTGCCCGCCCAGTGTGGTAGAGTGGGACGGGGGCGGCACCAGGGGAGGTGAGGTGGCGGGCGGGGGTCGCGGGCCGCGGTGGGTCGCCGCCGCCGAGCGGGCCGCTGTCTCACCGGCAGATTTGGATGGCGGACGGCGTCTCGGTGACGGAGCCCGACATGCTGGCGGCGGAGGCGGAGGCGGCAGCGGAGGCGGCAGCTCGGGCTGGAGAGAGCACAACGCAGGTGTCCAGCGGGCCCGGCGCAGAATGAATGAGCCCGGGCGGCGCCATGGAGGGGGAGGGTGGAGGCGGAGCCATAGTGCTGGAGAGGCGGGGCCTGCGCGCCGGGGGCGAATCGCTCGCGGCCGCCCCGCGCTGGCCCCGCCCCTCGTAAGGCCCCGCCTCCTTGTCCGCCAAGGCCTCTGGCGCCGGCGCGGGCCGGGAGTTCCGGGGGCGCCCGCGGGGCGCCGTTTCCAGAAGGTTCGGTGACGGTTGCGCGGCGCCCGCGAGGGCCGGGCTCGCGAGTGGCGGCCACACTCCCTCAGGCCCGAGAGCGGTGGCCGGTCGCCTGCCGGGTCGCAGAGCCCGCGGGCGCCGGCGCTCCCTCCGCAGTGGCCGGGCGAGTGCGCGGGGCGTTGCCGGCATCCGCGCGACGATTCGCTGTCCGCGGGGCTCGGGCCGCGTGAGGTCAGCGGGGAGGGAACGGAGGCCGGGAGGGCTCTCCGCGGGGTCCTCTGGAGACAGAACCCCGGGGGGCGGATGTGCAGGGAGCCGGTATTTACTGCCCGTTCTCCCTTACTTGGACTTTCTGTAGGGAACGTGAATTTGCACGCCGAAATGAAAAATTTAAATGCACAGAACTCGAGCTCCAGGTGCATTTTGAACAACCGGGTGCTACCCAGCCAGGGACCCTAAGGAGGAGCCCACAGGCCAGCGCTATAGCCCCACCCCGCTTCCAGCACTGCAAGTGGCCGGGATCAGGGCTCCTGGGACTTCAGGATTGTTACAACGCCAAGGAGTTGGGTTTAGGAGCTGTGGTAGAACAGAACGCTCGCATCGCAGGCTGGAAGCAAAAAAAAAAAGAAGCCAATTAAGGTGAACCAAGCACTGAGGGTCATCAACCACCATAAACATTCCGACTTATCTCTAATGGAGGCAGTAAGCAGCTTTGGAGATAAGATCAGGCACTTTCCCCTGGTACCGATAAAAATGAAAAAGACAAAAAAAAAAGATCTGGCATTTTCCTTATCTAATTTTCATAACTCAATTGATGGGGTGATAACACCTCACTAGCTTTTGTGAGAGTTGAAGAGTGCTGAATGTTCAGGACCTAAGGAGGTGAGGCAAGAGAATCCAAGTGAGTTCCAGGCCAGCCTGAACCACAGAGTAAGGGCCTGTCTTGAACACCACCCGTTCCCTAAAAAAATAAATAGGGCATTTTTCTCCCTTGTTCTTTGCCTGTGCTAGTCTATAAATGCAAAGTAACAAGCGTGCCCTCAGACCGAACATGCAAAGCAGTGGGTGTTTACTGAGACCCCGCCCTTTATAGAGATTTGCTTATCCAGGTGGGAGTGCTGGGTGGCACAGCCCCCGCCTGGCAAGCACAAGTCCTGAGTTTGATTCCCAGTACTAAAAAAAAAACCAAAAAAACGTGAGAGTGCTTCAGAAATTCAGACTCTGATTGGAAGACTGATTTAGTGACCCAAAATGTTTAACTCAAGCCACACTCTGCCCAGAAGAGATTTCCAGACCAGACAGGTGGCCTGAGTGGTTTTCATCTCTTCTAGAGAACGGCAAAAGAAATCAAAACAGGCCATGTACTTTAGGGGAGAGGGCACGGCCGGCCTTTGGGCAGAAAACCCCTCTGTCAAGGTTTCTTGTACTGCCCATAGCAGCCAGGGGGTCGGGGAGGGTAACAGCCCCTGCACCCTGCCCTGTTCTGACTACAGAAAAAGAAAAGGGCACCCCAGAAGACTGGGGTGGCGCTGCGCTGCTTTCAAGGATAGCAGTGGGGGCCCCTTCTGAGTTATTTCTGCCCCAACGTAAGTCAGGCTCCCTTGCCTGGGGGTTTTTTGTTTTTGTTTTTTTTTTTTTTTTGTCTTTTTTCCTTTTTATCAGTACCGGGGATCGAACTCACGACCGCCTGTTTGTAAGGCAGGTGCTTATGCCACTGAGCTAAATCCCCAGCCCCTTGCCTGCCAGTTCCTTCCAGCGAAACCCAAGAGCTACTTGTCTCATGCAACCCTGTCTTCTTCCCAGTCACCTTTGAACCCATTCCATCTAGGTGTCTGTTTGAGCCACTCCACTTGGCAAGGTGCTGATTCCTTCTTGGTTGCTAAACCCAGTAATCTCGTGTCAGAAGTCATCTGCCTAAATCTGGGAGCTAAGCAGGCAGGCAGATGCCATGTCTTCAGGAAGTGCTTCCCCCAGGTTCTGGGATTCCCCACCGCACTCTCCTGCTCAGCTGGGCCTGCCCTCTGGCCCCTTGGCTGTCCAAGCCCTGCCCTGCCCATCTCCTCTTTAATTCCCATCTGCACTGCGTGGAGCCAGGGCCTCACCTGAGTTTCAGATCTAGCAGTCCGCCTGCCCACACTGCTCCCACGGTGCTGTCTCCTTTTGCGCAAGCTCAGCACCCAGGAGGCATCCCTGACCCCTCTGTCTCACATCCCAGGGCCCGGTCATCTGCAAGTCCTGCAGGTTCCGCACTGCGAATAAACCTACGCTCTGACCACTCCTCACTGTGGAACTCGAAAATCTGCCTCATGCTTGCCCAGCTGGTGATTCCGCCTGCCTCCAGCCATGCTGAAGCAGGCCTGGCCTCGGGCAGTCACCGGCTCCTTCCACCCCTGGACCACTGAGACTGGCAAATGCCACCTTGCCCAGGTTCTCTCGGTGACAGTTCCCTCCCGTACGCCCTGCCCTCCAGGTGTGCTTTTGTCTTGGCACTTAGGCCATTTAGCAGGTAATTCACTCATCTGTTTATTGTGCCTCCTCCAGGTAGAATATATGGGTAGGGAATGTTTTTTATGGTGGCCACTACTGTGTATATTCCAGGCTCCAGGAATACATCATGGGTGCTCAATAGCTCTGTTACAAATTATTTAATCAGGATATAGACAGTCTTCAGGCGTGGGGGTACATCCCTGTAAACCCAGCACTTGGGAGGCTGAGCCGATGGAGGCCAGCCTGGCCTGCATAAGTGAGTTCAAGGCTAACCTGCACTACAGAGCAAGACCCTGTCCAAAAAAAAGGATACAGATGGTCCTCAGCTTTGGATGGGGCTACAACTCATTAAACCCATAGCAAGGTGGAAAATGCATTCAGTGGATTTACGTGCTGAACACCTTAGCTCAGCCCCCCACTCCACGCAGTCTGAGAATACTTTAACTGAAGTTGTGCAAAATCATCAGTGCATTAGTGCAAGGCCCATTTTACAGCACTACAGTCACTGTTCCACAACGCATTGTGCAAGGTCGTCCCACAGAATCCTCCAGGTTATCAGCTGTTTACCTCACGATCAGGTGAACTGCTGGGAACTGTGTCTGTCTCTGCCCAAGATCTCTGCCCATAATCCCAAGAGAGAATCGCTCTGAATTGTCAGGAGCCCAAAAGAGGATCAGTGGTGTAGTATACTCCATCAGGAAGCGCCAGACAGTCCAGAAAAGCAGTACACTTGAGTTAGGGCAGGGAAGACTCACAATACAGAGGAATGGGAGGAAGAGAGTATCACACCACCCACATCATGATCCCAAAGTCTGCAAGGGAAGTGTAAGCAGTAACAAGGAACGGGGCTGGATGAAGCACATCTGAAGTCTGAACTGCTTCAGAGGCTGAGGCAGGAGGGTCTCAATTTTAAAACCAACTCGAACAATTCAGTGAGATCCTGTTTCAAAGTGAAATTTAAAAGGCTGTGAGCTGGGGTGTGGTGGTGCATGCCTGTAACTCCAGCACTCAGGAGGCTCCTGGGTCAGGGCCAGGAGGATTTCAAGTCTGAAGCCAAGCTGGGCTACATAGTAAGATCCTGGATTAAAAAAAAAAAAATTGGATAATTGTCACTGAAGACAGAATGGTAGGACCCTCAGTGGAGGACGGGAATTGGCAGGGGTTCCTAGGCAGAGGGTTGATCTTTCCTCTGTGACCTGGGTAACAACGTACAGGCTTATAATTTTTTTTTACACTATACACACTTTATGCATTTTTCTGTTTACATCAGAGATTTTAGAAACCAATGCAGCATCTGGGAATCAGGGTGACGGCCACTTTCTGTCTTGACATTTCCAGCTCAAGGAGGCCACCAGCCAGGATCCCGCATTCTGGTCAGGGCTCTGCTGCCCACATGTTGGGTCAGCTGCCTCTCTGTGTCCAGGGTCCCCACAGGCCCAGAATTCGGTGCTGGGGGCCTAGGCAGGCACAGGATGGGATTAGGAAGCCCCCCAAGCACTGGCTGTCACACGTAGCTCCGGACAACATGAGTCCGTCTTCTCAATTTGTTTTTGCTGGGGGGAGGGGTGGAACACAGGGCTTCCTGCGGGGTGGGCAAGTGCGCTCTCTCCCCTGACACAGAAAAGGTCGCTGTGCAAGCTCAAGAGATGGCCCCTGTGAAGCCATGCAAAGGCCAGCTGAGCAGCAGGACTTCATAGCTATGCCCACCGCCCAGGTCTTGGTTACTTTCTGGTCACCAGGACACAGAACCTGACACCCACAGTTTAGGAGAGGTCCAGCTGGGCATGGTGGCCACCTCTCCCAAAGCTCTGCCAGTGAGCACACCCGGGTCTAAACGTAACAGTCCAACTCCACTGCAGGGCCTCAGGGGGGCCTGGCCCATCCCCAGCAGGCTCGCTCTGGGCTCTCAGCTGTCACCTCAGCAGGTCCTCTGAGTACACAGAGTGACATCTGGCCAGCCAGCCTCTTATGCCTCATGACAGCCACCAGCTACCTTGTGGGGAGCCTCAGCAGGGCGGCATAGTCAGCAGAGTGTTGGGGACAGCTGAGGAGTGGCCACTAGAGAGCAGGGTGGCACTGGGCAGGACTAAGAGCAATAATCCCCTCTCCCAGGCTCTGAGGCCTTAGAGTAACTCTGAGTCATCTGCACCTCGGTTCCCTCAGGGAAAAGTGGGGACGCCCTGCCGGTGGGGTGGTCAAGGAGTGAGCAGCTGCTGCCCAAAACCGTGTGGCACAGAATGGGTTCTGAAAGTCCACCGGTGCAGCCCGACACACTGAGGTCCTGGGCTGCAGGGTTGTTGACAAAGGGACTCAGATGGCCTCGGCCCAGGAGGAGCTGCAGCATGGCCAGGGCCTGCTCGTCTGCCAGTGCCAGGCCGGGGACTCCACAGGAGACAGGCCCGGCCCTCCGTCCACAGGGTTCATCCGTCTTTTCGCATTCACGGTTTAGCTGCTGTGTGTTTCCTGTTTGGAGACCACGAGTGCTTTACCCCTTCCATCCAGACAAAGCCTGAGTGTGTTGCCAAGTGCGGACCAAAAGCCACAGTGTGTTTCCGGGCATGGTGGTGCACACCTGTAATCCCTGCACTCAGGAGGCTGAGGCAGGAAGATTGCTGTGAGTTCAAGACCAGCCTGAACTGCATAGCAAGACCCTGTCTCAAAAACAAAACAAAACAAAACACAGTGTGTGCTGACATCTACCAGACACATTGCCATGAACTCCCCAAGCCCCCAAGCCTGCTCCTTGAACACATTTTCTCACGGTTTCCACTTTCTGGAGTAGTTTGGGTTTTTTTATCGGTACCAGGGGTCAAACTCACGACCATGCACTTGCAAAGCAGGCGCTTATGCCACTGAACTAAATCCCCAGCATCTGGAGGAGTTTTGGAAGTCCCCTCTCATGACCGTCTTTATGAAGTGGGATAAAAAATACAGTTACTAGGGGCTGGGGATTTAGCTCAGCGGCATAAGCGCCTGCCTTGCAAGCAGGCAGTCGTGAGTTCGGTCCCTGGTACCGATAAAAATGAAAAAGACAAAAAAAAAAAAAAAATACAGTTACTGCCGCCAAGTCCCTCCTGACAGAAGGGCAGGCTCCCAACACACTCTGGGGTGATGTTGTCAACAGCTTGGATCCATTCAGGACATCAAGGCAGCCACGACAGGGTATCAAGAAAGAGGACCCCAGAACTGCTACAGAAGGCGGCAGGAAGGACGGGTTGACCTGTCTGTCCGAAGCAAGCGGGAGGATCTGAGGGGGATCTGCAGCAATGCACCCTCACCGCACTGAATGTTTAAAATTTAAGGCATTTGCCAAATTTTTAAAATCACATTTATACAAAACGCTGAAGCACTGCCCACCCTTCCCACAGGAAGGACAGATCTCAACGCCACACAGACATCCTCGCCACCTGGCCACTACCCTAACTACCATCTCCTGCTCTGCCCTGCCCTGCCCAAGAACAAACCAGGGAAGCCAGTGAAAGACCCCCTTGAAAGGAGGGTCCCGCCGAGCACAGCCAGCAGGAAGTGGGTCACCCCACTGGAGAAGAAAACCATCCATGCGTTTAGAAAAGGCAGCGATCGGCTTACTTAGAGGCACTCAGAAGTCACTTCTCGGAGTTTAAGTAGGTCAGGCTTTGAATCTAGAATTACAGCGTCGACATTTAATGGGATTCATCAGAGGACGGCTTCAAAGCACCCGCGCCCTTGACACGCTTGGCTTCTCTCCGGGAAGCGCGGGCGCTGGGTGCGCTCTGCGGCCCTGTGGCGCCATCTAGCGGTGTGGTCAATTCCCACGCGCTCCATTCGGCTCCACCGTGGCCGGTCCCACGTGGAGGAGACCTTGCTGCACAGCGGAAGAAACCGGTTGGTTTATGGTATTTGTAATAATGGGGATTGAACACAGGGCCTCCCCCATGGGAGGTAAGTGATCTAGCACTGAGCAACATCCCCGGGCTTTTTTTTTTTTTTTTTTTTTTTAATTTTCAGACAGGGTCTGGCTAAGTTGCCCAGCCTGGATTCAAGGTTAAAGTCTTCCTGCCTCAGCCTCCTGAATGCTGGGATTACAAGTGTGCATCATCATGTCTGTCTAGGAACAGCTGCTGTTTTAGTCAGCTTTCCTGGCACTGGGACACCATACCCAAGAGCTGCAGTTTAAAGGAGGAGGGGCTGGGCCAGTCCAAGGTCAGCCAGCTCAAACAGAAACGGCTGGAGGAAGGGTGTGGCAGAGCAGAGCTCTCCTGGAAGTCAGGAAGTAGGGGTGGGAGGAGCTGGGAAGGGAAATGCACCTGCCCAGTCAGGACCTAGTACAGCTCCGCGGTGGTGGAACCTAGCACACAGGAGGCCCCAGGCTCCATCCGCAGCACCCGCAGCAGAAAAACAAAACAAGGGATCCAGAGCCCTGCAGCGTCAATCCCTCCTCCAGCTCCCTCCTGCTGTGTGGGTTTAGGCAATTACCCAGACTCCTCTGTGCTCCAGCGTCCTCATCTACAAAGTGAGGATCATAACCAGACCTACCTGGCAGGGCTTTTGTGAGGCTGCTTATAAATTGTTATAACCTATATATGTAAAAACTCCTCATAAGTCTCCTCGGAGGCAAGAAAAAGATCAAAGGTAACTCTAAGAGCAGAACAGGATGTCTTCCTAATCTAAACTTGCTTGTTTGCAGGGTGACTTGCTTGTTTGCAGGATGTGCCTTCCCCAGAGGATGTTTGCCTAATCAAAACTTGCTTGTTAGCCCAACCCTTACCTGAACCTTGCTCTTCCCAAGAAATGTAATCGCAGTGTTCCTGTTCTGTAGTGTGTCACAGACCCACCCCACTCCTTGCATTGTGAGACCAGCAGCTGTTTGCTATTTTACAAGATAGAAAACCCTGCCCTTTAGCTGTTAGGGGCGCAGTCTTCCATATTAGCTACCCATTGCCAGGCCTGGCCTAAAATAAAGCCTTTGCTCCAAATTTCTTAAATTCTTGCTTCCTTGGATTTTATTCTGGGGTCCGAACTATCACATAAATCATCACGAACAGTGTGTGGTGCTTACAAGATTCACCCAATAACAACTAACGTTATAACTAATTGAAGATCATCATTCCCTTGCAGCCAACAATATAAAAAAAATTTTGAGGGGCTGGGGATTTAGCTCAGTGGCATAAGCTCCTGCCTTGCAAGCAGGCAGTCGTGAGTTCGATCCCTGGTACCAATAAAAAGGAAAAAGACAAAAAAAAAATTTTTTTTTTGAGACAGTGTTTTGCTATATACCCCAGGCTGGCCTTGAACTCCTGGTGATGCTCCTGCACTCTGGATGCTCAGACTTCCAGAGTGCTGGGAGAGGAGCCATGTACCACCATGCTGGGCCCATGGTAACTTTAATTTCCGATTCTCTGCTCATAAAATTGATATAACCCCCACTGGATTTTCACGCTTGGCAAAATGGCCATTTAAATTTTTTACTCATTTTTCTCTTGTGCTATATGTCTTATTGTTGATTTCCTTATTTTTACTAGTGATTTGAAAATCAGTACTGATTTAAAATCTACGAGGCGAGCCGGGCGTGGTAGCTCACCCCTGTAATCCCAGCACTTGGGAGGCTGAAGCAGGAGGATCGCTGCGAGTTTTTGAGACCAGCCTGGGCTACAAAGTAAACTCAAGGCCAGCCAGAACTGTATAGTGAGACCCCGTGTCAAAAAGAATCAATGAGGCATAGTTGGAGTGCTTTATATGTCTTGGATATAATGACTTTTCAGTACTATGGATTGCAAATGTTCTTTCCCTGTCTGGCCTGGCATTTTCACTCCTTCAAAGTATCTCCTGATGAACGGAAGTTCTAAAATGTTTAATCTAAAAAAATAAAATAAAATGTTTAGTCTAGTGTATAATTTTTTTTCCTTTTTATTGGTACTGGGGATCAAACGCATGACTGCCTGCTTGCAAGGCAGGCACTTACGCCACTGAGCTAAATCCCCAGCCCCTTAGTGTATCATTTTTTAATTCAAAGTGCTTTTAAAAATTTCGAATCAACCTTCTGAGGTATAATTTACATGCAATACAAAGTACCTTTAAAGTTAGTATTGGTTTGGTTTAGTTTGGTTTTTCTTTGAGACAGGGTCTCACTGTGTAATTCAGGCTGGCCTCAAACTCAGAGCAATCCTCCTGCCTTAGTCTTCCAAATGCTGGGATCACAGGCGTGCGCCACCATGCCCGGTTTGTTTTTGTGTTTTTTGAGATAGAGTCTTGCTATCTAGGTCAGGGCGCCCTTGAACTCATGACCACCCCGCCTCAGGCTCCTAGGTGCTGTGATTACAGTACAGTCATATCTTGGTCCTCAACTGCTTTGAAACTCAATTTGGTACTCAAATTGTTTTGTTGGTTTTTTGAGACAGGGTCTTGCTATGTAGTTCAGGCTGGCCTCCAACTCACTGTGTAGCCCAGGCTGGCTTTGAACTCCTGGCCCAGCTATTTATATTTGGATGGATGAGTGGATGGATGTGGTGCTGCCGATTGACCTCACGTATCAAGCACACCAGGAGAGTGCTTGACCACTGAGCTACACCACAGCCTGGCCGAGGAAGCAGGTCTTTGCAGGTGCCCCTCCAGGGGGAATATTTTGTCCTTGCTTTCTCTCTTCCCTCTCCTCCCCTCTCCCAGCTCACCCCAGCCCTAGGCACAACAGCCCCAGCAGCCATGGACTTAAACCTCTGAAGCCATGAACCCAAATAAACCTGCCTTCCTTTTCAATTGATTGTCTCGGGCATTTTGTCACATGACAGGACGCTGACCAGCACACATATGTTCCATGCCGCCACTGCTCCACCAAGAGGAATATTTTTAGACAGTCACATTCCCTGCAGCCAGCACACCCAGCCAGCCCCGGGGGCAACACGGTTGCATTTTCTAAAGTCTGGTAAAATTGCCATTCTGTAGGATCTATCTTTCTTTTTTTAGTTTTTCTGAGACAGGCTTCACTGCCTAGTTTACACTGGCCTTCCATACAAAGCCCTCAAACAACGCTCCTCCTCCTGCCTCAGCCTCCCAAGGGCTGGGATAACAGGTGTGTGCCACCAGGCCTGGCTCCTGCCTGGCTTCTTTTACCCATGTAGTGCTTACCATGCCCATCCCTGTTCCTGTACCCACCGTCCATTTACCAACTGAGTAGATTCTATGATGTGCATGGTCCACAGCTGTCAGAAGGCCAGTGATTACTTCCAGTGGGGGCTGCCTACTGCCTACTGGCTTCGGGATCAAGTCTTTGGGGAGCTGCGTGCTTTTGTTTCTCTCTGGTAAACAATCTAATTAATTATTCTTTTTTTTTTTTTTTTGGTCTTTTTCGTTTTTATCGGTACCAGGAATCAAACTCACAACCACACACTTGCAAGGCACGTGTTTATGCCGCTGAGCTAAATCCCCAGCTCCCTGGTAAACAATCTAAAGTATGATGGCTAGGTAATAGAGTGGGGTATGTTTGATTTTATAAACTCTCCTCGCTGTTTGCAAAGTGACTATGCCTTCTGTGTTCCTACGAGCAGTAAAGGAGGTTCAGCTGCTCACAGCATGGCCAGCAGTGGAGTCTCCTGTGCTATAATCTCTGTGATCCTAGTGGGTGTGTAGCAGCATCACGTTATGGTTCTAATCTGAATTTTTTTGAGGTACAAGGGAGTACTGAGCTACGCCCCAGCCCTGCTCTGTTGTTTTTTAAGAGTAGCCATCACTGAGTTCCTCAGTCCTTCCCGCCTCAGCACCCAGAGTGCTGGGAAGGCATCTGTCCCCAGCTGGCTTTAATTTCATTTCCTGTAGATTTATTGAGCTTTGGGTACCAGCCACTTTCCCTTTCCTGAGAGAGAACCCTGACACCCACAGTTTAAAGGTTAGAGGTTTATTTGGCTCATGGTTCCAGGGTTCAGCCCACAGCCGGCTCCCCAGGGGAAGGGTACGGAGGAGCAGGGTGCTCAGGTCACAGTGGTGAGGACGCACAGCAGGGGAACAGTGCCAGGGCGGAAGCGGCCAGGGACTGGACAGGGTATCCAAGGCCACAGCTCCATGACCTCCAGACACCCAGGAGTGCACCCCACCAGCCCCCCGAATGGCTCCCAGGCCACTCAAGGTGACACCACCAAGATTAACCTCCACACTCATACTGTGGCTCCGAAGCTGTCCGTCCACCCTGGTGGCCCCTCCGGGAGCTCCTGAGGTCTCGTCTATGCGCTGCTGTCGGCGTAGGCCCAGTGAAAGTTACCCAGGTCAAGTTTGTCAGTGGTGCTGTTCTTCTGCACCTTTGCTGAGTTCTGTCCTTCCGGGCATCAGTTCCTCCGGGGGCTGACACAGTGTCACTGTGAATATGACAACTTCCTTTAGTTGTCAGTATTTCTTATGTGTTGAAGCCCTGCACTAAATCCCTGCATGCTTAGAACTGTTTTTGTCTTCTTGATGAAATGATTTTGGGGGGGAAGTGCTTTGATACATGGTCTCACTGTATAGTTCAGGCTGGTCTTGAAGTCATTATGTATCTCCAGAAGGCCTCAACTTCATAGAGATCCCCCTATCTCAACCTCCAAAGTGCTGGGATTACTGGTGTGTGCCACCATGCCAGGCTCTTGCAGTGATTTTTTTGTATCATCAAGAATGACCCACTTTATCACTAATAATAAAACATGTACTACAATCTATTTTTGTCTGATTTTTTAAACTTTTTTTCTTTTCTATTTTTCAAATAAGGTATCACTTTGTAGCCCAGGCTGGCCTTGAACCTGCAGCAATCCTCCTGCCTCAGCCTCCCAGTGCTGGAATTACAGGCCTGCATCACCAAGTTCAGGCTTATTTGATGTTAGTGTAGCTACAACAGCTTTATCTTTTTCACTACTATGATTTGAAACTGGGTGTGGTGGCACAGTTCTGTAATTCCAGCACTTGGAAGGCTGAGGCAGGCCGATTGTTGTAAGTTTGAGACCGGCCTCAGCTACAAAGTGAGCCCAAGGCCAGCCTGGATGGTATAATGAGACCCTGTCTCAAAAAGACAAAAATAATAATAGGGTTTGTCCCACTGACATTGCCAGCCTGTGATTGGTTGATTGGTTGATTGGTTGTTTTGTTTTCTTTTGTTTTTTGTGGTAGCAGGGATCGATCTCAGGACCTCACACTTGCCAGGCAGGCACTTATGCCACTGAGCTAAATCCCCAGCCCATGATTGAGTATTTTTAGATAGTATCTCATTACATACTTCAATCTGGCCTTGAACTCACCACATAGCCAAGGGTAATTTTGAACTCACAGTGTTCCTCCTGCTTCAGCCTCTTGAATGCTGGGATTACAGTGTGTCCATCACACCTAGTTATTTTTTATTTTGAGGTAGGGTCTCCCTATGTTCCTAAATTTCCCAGGCTGGCTCACTCTTGCAGTCCTCTCAACTTAGGCTCCCAGAGTGCTAGCATTCCAGGTGTGAGCCCTGTAGTTTCTGTGTGTTTGAGTCAGGAACTTGTCTCTTGCCCAGGCTGGCATCAAGCTCCTGTGTTCCGGTGATCGCGCTGCCTCAGCCTCCCGAGTGCTGGGATCATGGGAACACTGTCTCTACATTTGGGCATCCTGGCTACCCCATCCTGTGCCAGCAGTCCCCAGCATGCCCTGCAGTCCCTACCAGGCGCCCATGAGATGAGTGTTAGTTTATAATTACACTCAAATGTTTCCTCTCTCTCATTCTCTACAAATGCACCATGGTTTTGCAACAACTACACACCCCCTGTAATAATGCTGAACAATGAAACCGTAATGTCTGGAAGATCGGGATAACAGGAGACGCTGTGACCCCACATCTCTCAGGTGGCCAATGGGAGGTGACGCTCAACCCTGCATAGGCCATGGAGCCATGTAAATTGCAAGGGAGGGCCAGGCATGGTGGGGCACGCCTGTAATACCAGCACTTGGGAGGCTGAGACAGGAGGATTGCCATGAGCTTGCGGCTGGCCTGTGCTACACAGCG